ATCCTTCTTCTTTTTGAACTGTCACAAATGGTGAAGGAATTGTTGCACGTGTCCAGGACCTTGAGTCTTCCGTGCTTAGTCTCCAGATCAGAGTCTCGATTCACTGCATAAGCTTATGTTTATTATTGGTGAGGAAGAGTTGGTGTCTGAATTAGGACAATTTATTTTTGCCAGGAAAGACTGATTTCAGTTGCAGATTTCAAATAACATATTAAGGTTGGCTTAAATCAAGGGTTGGTTTTGTACCTTAGCTATATGGCTATATAGGCATATGGCTGTCAGATTTTGACTTGGGTCTCTGTGTCACAAAAAATAAGTAACATTTGGAGTGGGGGAGGGATCAAAACTACAATAGCTAAATTTGAAAAGATGCAGCGGAGGACAGCACAATTTCTAGCTGATGACTTTTATGATTTCTTCTCATTTGCAGGATGTTGCATTATTTGATTAACGTATTTTGTATATTTTCTCTATCTGGACAATACAGCACAACAAAGAGTATTTTAGTGGAGTTATTGGAGGTGAGGAAACTGATTCCTGATGACTGAAACCTGAGGATAGTTATCTCCTTGGCCTAGAAAATCAGTCACAACAGAATCGCCCTGTCTTACTTCAACATCTACAAGAGATGAAACTCCCTCTGCTAAGTTAGGCCTGATATGATAGGGGTACTACTCCATGCAGTAGAGAAGGATTCCACAAGGTTCAGACAAACTTTGTGTGTGTGTTTATTGCCTAGGCCAGTGACATGGGCATGCCTATCCCATGTCATTTTTATTGCCTGCGTTGTGAACTCTGGAAGGCTAGAACAGCATGGCATGTGAGCATTACTGGAAAGAACAGAAGTATTTTTTATTTCTTTCACATGAGGCAAACTACTTTTATCAAATTTGCTTTGGATGGTGCTGACCAAGTTGAAATATGCTTGCGTTCAATTTAGGATCTGAGAACCGTAATTGGAGTTAAATCTTACGAATGATTACATACTGAATTCAGCCTTCAGAGACAGTGACTGGGAGGTGGGGGCTGTTGTCTAATGCAGAAAGAAGCAATGTAATTATCAACATTCTCCTACTAGACCTCGGGGCCCAAAATACTGTGAGAAGGTTCCTTGGTAATTTATTTTTGCTGAGTGCTGGGAGTGATGTTTTTGCTTTCACTGCTCAGAAAGGAGATACTGCTGTTGGCGTGTTACAGCTGGGAAGCGGAGGGGAATTTGGAGTTACGAGAATCTCCCGACTCTTCTCCCGGGTTCACTAACTCAAAAAATTCAGAGAAGCACGTTTCCTGCAGCAGTAGGTGGCATTATGCTGCTCAGTATGAGCCGTAACTGTACATATTACATGAGAAGCAGTTACACGAACACTCTTGGCACATGCAAGGTGCATGGCCTTATTTTTACCTTTTGCCGCATGCTGTCTTTGACCACATCCATTCTTTTGTGTATAGCAGTTCTGTGATGTCCTTTCTCTTCTACTGCCCACAGAACTGGAACTAGGTAATTCCAAAGTAGGTTAGGGGGTTGTGTGGTTTGTTTTTTTTTTTTTTACACCAAAGTAATGTTCTGACATGGTAGGTGAAGCAGTGGGTTTTGAGGCTATTACTGCCTGTGTGATTCCATGTATTTCTTACAGCATGGATGTACCTGGTATAATCAGCCACTTGGATCTTCCTGTGAGGAAGTTACTCGTTAAACGCTGGGGGTTTTGCAGACCATTGAGAATATAGATAAGTAATAACTCTTACGATCTGTGATATCACTATGTTGCTTATGCCACACAACTTTGAAGATTGCTCCTTGGTCATATCCTGCAATTCATGTACTTTGTTGTTGCTTGACTCAGGCTGCAGGGTAGTTCTGATGCAATTGGTTGCATCTCAGCCAGGATAAGAAACAAATATTTTTAGATGTTACCAACTTACTGGTTTATACAAATTGTGCAGATCTTAGTTCGTGTTAGTACAAATCCTAACTCACGTTCCCCTCAGAAGTGCCTCTGTCGATAATAAGGGCAGTCCTGCTTGCTGTTAGCCTGTTTTGCATGCTGTGTGGGAAAGAAGGATAGATTTTCTTGGACTTGGAATTGAAGTGCGATGAGGGTTACAGACAGTCACAGGAGTGGTAATGGCACAAGGAAAGAGGGTGCACTTATGGTAGGGACATAATTGCAAAATTTCCACCTACGTCAGAAGCTGCATCAAGCACTTGAAAATGCCTGATTTTTGTAGGTCTGACTTGTTGGGGTCTTTTAACTAGTAACAGTTTTTGCGTGGCTCAAGTTTTCTTGCAGTAACAGATATGTCACTTCTGAGCTGACTGAAAGCACAGAATACCAGAATGGTTTTTTTTCCCCAAACAGCCAAGGACAAATCAAAACAGAAGTACAAGCAGTCACACCCAGTGTTTTATATTTGCGATCAATACATACATGGCATTTCTGTTGAGAATAGGTTCAGAGACAGTATTTTGTTGCCAGCATCATCACTTTCTACCATGACCAAAACTGGCTTTTAATTTTTTTTTTTTTTTTTTTTTTTACTATTTTCCATTCTTAATGTGTTTTAGTTAAAGGAACTTTCGCAAGAACTTCCGCTGTTGTTATGTTGTACACATAAGCAGGCGCGTTTGAATGATTGCTCACAGAGGTTGGGGCTGCATTTCATGAGGTATCAAGTTCCTCACTGAGGTGCTGAGCACCCTTGTTTCTCAATGAAGCCAATGATCTTGCAGAACTGGAGGCTGGAAGGGCATTGCTTTGATTCATAAAAAAGCATCAATTCTCTTAACTGCTCACGTTCCCTTACGGGTGCCCGAGCACCTGGGAAGCCTGCAGGGCAGCGGTGGTCCCTGTCCCTGCCACAGAGCGCGCTTGCCTGTGAGCTGCCCATCAGTGTGCCTGGCCCGGAGGGGAGATGAGGCACAGCCCTGGGCTGCAGCCCATCTGCACGCTCTGTGGCAAGGCCCTGCTCTCAAATGCCAGTTTTTCAAAGAGGCTCCTTCACTTGTGTTTCCTGACTGACAGATTGTTTGCAGGAAATGTTAGTTTAAAAAAAAGAAAGAAAGATAAATACAAACCAGAGATCTTATGCAGCAGGTTTCTGAGCTTATACCTTTAAATACCCATTGTATATAACTTGGCAAAATTCTTATCACTATGAAAACGTCTCCTTTTTTCTCCTTTTTTTTTCCTTCTTTTTTCTTCTCCTTTTTTATTTTGTAGGAGAACCATTACAAATATCAGTGGGACTCAGTGGCCATTTTTGAGATGAATTTAGGTACATAAAACAATCCCTGCTGAGAGAAGAGAGCAGATGGCGATTCAGTTGCTTTATACCAGTGACACTCATGCTCCTTAGCAGGCATTCAGGTGAAGTGTACAATGCTGATAGAAATTGTTTGCAATTTCAGCTCAGTATTTCTTAGTATTCTTCCCCCAGCCTCTAGAATCAAGGCAAGGAAATGTATAATATGTTTGTAATTTGAGTACTACTCTTTTCTTTTTAGTAAGACTGGCAAGAAAACTATGTTGTTTAGGTAATGGAGGAGCTCCCAAATTCCTTAAAGTTGCTGTGCAGGGATGCTCTTTGCATTTATTCAGTTACACTTTGAGTTTCTGAGTGTCAGAATAAATTATTTGCAGAAAAAAATGAAATTTATTTGTGATAAATATGAACCAGAGGTCTTGCACTGTGTTGTGCTCAGAATTAAGAGATGTATTTAATTCACCGCACAGATCGCGTTTAGTTAATTTAAATATTTGACAGCTCTTTTAGAATGTGACATTTCAGGTTTCCTGTTACGTATGCAACATAGCTCAATGCGGATGAGGCAAACTGTGAAGGCTCTGATATGCAGTATAAATCTGCTTGCTGCTATATGTTACTACAATATTTATATTTACAAGACAAAAAAGTTAAGCACTTTAAGTGAAAGATTACATACAGAAGCAAGGAAAATACTGACAAAAGTTCCCATTCACTGTGTATATGGGTGTGTCTGAGAGTATGCATATTTGCCATACTCAAATACATCAAGATGATTAACTACAGAGCCTTGATGGATTATAGCATGACCGGAGCTGGTAAATCTTGCAGCTATCACGAAGTTTTGTGAGGGTTTTTATTACTGTTATTATAATCGTTGAAAGTCTTACAATATTGAAATTTCTTAATAAAGCTGCAGCTCTTGGAATGTGGCGGTTTCCTAAGAGCTTTATTTTCTTTTTTCTTTTTTCTTTTTTTTTTTTTTTCTCCAAAGCATGCGTTTGGTGCTTGTGGTTGTAGAGAAAACTCTAGAAATGTGAATGAGAAGGGTAAGAGGGAGGTCTGAGCATGGGACGAGAATGTAAGTTTTTAGGAATGAAATCACATCGTGAGGGGGAAACTTTTGGGGAATGGTTGAAAATTGATAGACTGGGCGGCGCTGATAGGTTCGCTGGATTTTGGAGGGCACTAGAGAGAAGCTGAATCACCACAGCAAGATGTGTACTCAAATGTACAGTACTTAATGGTTAGTCCACTTTCACGAACTCTCCGTATTTCCAGGCCTGTAACTGTAACATGCTGAATGATAAAACAAGAAAAAAGGTAGATATGTTCAAATTTTTTAAAGTTACTTCACCTTCTAAAAACTATGCAGGTTAAATGGTTTTTTTTTTTTTTTTTGCAAGTGTTCTGCCTTACAAATGTCTTGTAAAACGTCCTGAGGTAAAACAGTAACACAGCTGTACAAGAATGTATATTATCAGTAATCCATAATACATTTTTCTGCCTTCCAATTATTTTCTAAGTCAGCACTAGAATAAAGTGGGCAGCAGATGAGAACATAGATTATTTCTCCTGTGTTTGAAAGACGAGGCCTTAAACTGGCTGAGCGCTAACTACAAAACGGCCAGCTTAGCACTGTCGTTCCTTTGAGGGTGTGATTTCGTGGTCAACAGGTAGTGCTCTCAGACTGATGGTTCTTCTCTGGTTATATTTCTCCTTTCTCTCCCTTGCAGTGTTACTAATTCATGTGCAGCTGTGCAGTAACTTGGACCATCTCTTGGACTGATTCCCCTGGAAAACACTTTTTTTCTTAAGGAAGGGTTAGTTTTCTGCTGAATCGATGAGCCAGCCTGACTGTTCCATGGGCACACAACTGCCTAGGCCAACAGGAAGGTGAGAGCAAGAACACCTGATTAAAGGGAACGTGGGAGCCTTCATGGTATGTTGTTAAAGGGCAGGATTTCTTGGACAATTGCTCTGCTTCTTCCATAATAACAACACAAAAACATCAGCGGCTAGGAATTTTGAGAAATTCCAAGGTAAATAAGATAATAATAAATATAATTTATTTGAAATTAAAATACTTTAAATAAATAATTGCTCAGCAGGTAGCGCACTGGTAATGTTTTCTTACATGTAAGACATCCTAAGTGCCTCTTTGCTTTAATGCAAATGTAGACTCCAGATCTGCAAGTTGTTTCTTGTCAATAAAACCTCACAGCAGTGGAGGCCCCTTGAGACAGATGTTTGTACAGACAGACATCCTGTCCATCTGAAATAATTTAAAGGATTTGGGCTTTAAAGGCTTAATTGTATTAGTATGGTATGGTAAGGCCTTTGTGCAAAGCTGTCATCTTTAGCGGACTGTACGAGTTCAAATACATTTGAATGACTGCAGAGGTGTAAGGTAACAGCTGCTGTGAAGTTGGGTGGTGACACACTGAATAGGAATTTAAATCTGTAAACCTGATTTGTGACTGGAAGAGTTTTCCTACTAAAAATCACACTGAGCCAGTGAGATAGCAAGAAATTCCCCTGTAGTTCATGTGGTAGTAGTGCAGAAGTTCCCTAGGTGATTCAGAAGTACAAATTCCGCTGAAAGTCACCTCTGAGCTTTTAAAGTCTGTTCGTAAATGTTTGTACTATGTAAGCTGTTCAAAAAACTATGTAAGCACTTCGCTAAGGAACTGCTAGTCTTTATTACAGAAAAAGCATTTCATATGTGAATCAAGACTGAAAAAAAAACCCCAGCAGCTGCTTCAAGGTAGCTGTGAAGAGTCGCTTTTCATCTTATTGCAGCGTAAACCCTTACCACAGTGATGCCATAAAAGTTAAACTTTGGCAGCTATTCTGCTGATGACTGTTTTAGTTGAAACACCAGTTGTTCTACAATTTTGAGGACTAAATAAAATAATCTTGTTCTAGTCTGATTCTGCTGGGCTTTCTACACTACCCTCTATGATCATTTCTGGGAGTAGTTCTTCCAGGAGAGAGAGGCATTTATGTCTAAGTTATAATATATTTTCTTCCTATATAAACATTTTATCTCAAATATTCTGCTTTGAATTTTTACTTAATTTGTATTTTAATTAGGAAAATGTAATGAAGAAATAGTTTGTAATATACCTTAAAAAAGAGTAACCTACCTACTTTTTGGAACTTGACATGGCCAGCAAAACTGAAACATTATTTTGCTGTTAAGTGAACAGCTTTGGAAAAGACTCTTGTGTTTATGATGGCTTGGAGTGTCTTACAAACTAACACTTAACTTTCACATTCTTTGCTTACAGCAGAATCAGTAATTGCAGTCCATTAAACCTGCATGGAAAAAATATATTCAGTGTAGCCATTTGGAAAAGGTCTGTTTTCTCTGCAGAATAGATCATGTATGTGTACATATCCTTGAAGAAAGTACTGCTCTAGAACTACGTGTCTCAGCTCAAAGGAAAGGTCCCTTTTCAGACTTAAACATATATAGATTAAACTTTTTCTAACATTTCATTTGCACATTTTTTTTCCTAGTGGTGATTTTCAGAGCTAGCGCTGATTGTTTTTATGGGCTCTTTGAGGGGGTTTGTTAGTAATATTCAAACCGATCAGCTTCAGTTTTGCCATGACATTGCTTATAACTGCAACTATCTGGAACTTGTTTTTGCAGGAATTAGTGCAAACTACTGTTTTGTGACCGCGTGGGGTTGGATCTGTGAGCTTTGATTTCAGTCTCTGATATGAAAGAATCACCGCTCTCTACACACCTCTGAAATAATTAGTTTTCCAGCTTCCTCACAAGCCAAGGATGACCAGGAGCATTTGAATAAAAGAGGTATAAAAATCATCAGTCATATACACTAAAATGCACCCAGCAGTCATTTAGAATTGATCCTAACTCTGTGTACCTCACTTTGAATATTTACCTTGATGCAGCAGGCTCTGCAGTGTCTCAGTAAAACACTTCTTGTTTTATGCTAATTTATTTATATAATTTTAAAATAGTAAGAAAATCTAAAACCTTAAGAAGTAACCAGCAGCACAATAAATACAACCTAGCAGTGTTAAAATAATAACTTCAGCAGTGAGTTCAGTGGCGGACACCAATAGAGACTTCTTACCTATTTTATAGGAAGGACGTTTTGCAAAGAATCATGCCTGATTGGAAGCATGTTAATTCTGTATGTGCTACACCATATCTAAAATTCATATGTTGTGAAGTGGAAGAAACAAACAAAAGCAGTAACGCCCTCTATTTTTGTTGTTTGGAAGAAGGTGTGCTCCACAGTCCATTTCAGATGTGGCCATATCGTCTAGGAAAATAGGAAGCAAAAATCCACTGTAGAAAAAATGCCAGATCTGAAAATGTTCTGTCCAAGTGGAGAACTGAGTATTAAAGCTCATGAGCGGCCATCGGGCCTTAAATAGTTAAGTGAAAAGGTCATATCAAAGTGGCTCACAGCCAACATCAGCTTTACTGGCTTCTGCATTCACTGTCAGTCACAGAAAGAGAACGCACACATGCTGGAATAAGGTAATTGTTGCAGATTAGAACCCCATGTGGAATGGAAGAGCCATCAAAGTGCTTTATAGCTGCTTAGCATGAGTTCTGATAATAGCAAGTTCTTTTTTATTATTGTTACAAAATGCAGCCATCTACCACAGACTAAACAAAAATCCCACAAGACAATAGCGCTGGCTTGTGAATATAGTATCTTTAATTGCTATGCATTGCTGGAAGTGGCAGTGAAAGTGGAGATATAATTGTTTGTTCAAATAGGACGATTTAGTTTTTTATCACTTTTTTTTTTAACTTTTTTTTTTTTACTTCTTTACTTTTTTACTGCTTAACTTCATCTTATTTTTTAGCTGCAACTAGGATTTTTTCTGTTGTTTTGACATATGTTAGAGCGATCTAGCTGTTCTTATTTGAGTATTTATTCTACAAAAGCAGTAACATTTTTTTCCTCTTCCGTATCTCATTGGCAAGAATAAAAAAGGCATGATTCTTAAGCGGCATCGTAGTGCGCAAGACCAAGTGTGCAAGATCATCACGCAAGCTAAAAAATAATGTTCATGAAATGTATCTATCTCATGAAACACAGGTGGCAGCAACAGTTTTTGACTTTCTGTACAAGGAGCCAGTTCTACAATGACACCCTTAAGGCAGATCTGTGCATTTAGGCAGAAGATCATGCTGCATGATTTTCTTCAGGACTAGTACCAAAGAGTTTACACAACTGGGAGGAATACAAGATGCTTTCTTGCAGTCAGGTTCTTACAGTCATTAGGAGTTATGCAGTAACATTGCTTGTTACGTTTGCGCTGGCCAACACTGTTTTTTTGCACAGGCCTTTGAGCTTATTAACTATGCATGTTTTAGGCCCTGTTTTCAGATCCTGTTGTTCCTGTTTGAAAACAGTAGCTGTTCTTAGTCCACAGAAATGCAGCCTTGAATGTTATGTAACCAAATTAAGCTTCCACCTGCCCAGTGCTCAAGAAAGCATCAACAACTGGTGATGTGAAGAGACCTCATTATTAAGATGTAATTACTTTGATGCTTTTCAGCATCAAAGTATATTACTACTAGTATATTATGATCAGCATTATCACACAGATTATTAAAATAATCACATGTGTAAAAATGATAGGTCAGTTGTGGTATCACGTTGTAGTTCAGTTTTTATCAAGCACAGGAAAAGAGTATGTGTTTGTTTACACCAGGTACTGCCTCTTTCTCGTTGCAAAAACTTAAGACTGTGTTTTATATGCCTATAAAATGTGCATATACATGCATAGCTACACACACACACACAGACAAAATGTTAACAGTTTTCTGTATCTGTGCATTAAAGACAAATTCTGATTACTGTGGTAGTTCAGGAGCTCAGAAATTTTACTTTCTCTGCTTTTGTGTTTGCAAAACCTCAAGCGCGATGTCATTGACTTTTGTCCTTGATTTAGATTAAGGAAAAAGAAGGATTAAACAGTGTTGTTATTTACGTTTGTACAATCAAATATATACTCGTTGAGAGTATATTCCATGCCGTTTGCCTGAGCGTGTATCATGCCTTATGCATAAACTGATATTTTAAGTCAGTGTTGCTTGGTTCTAAATTAATTGAGATTGACAAATGCTGTCATGCATTCAGTGTGGATGAAGTTTATTGAAATTTTGAAATTTTAAGTTACCAGATATTTAAACACAACTACCTATTACAGCATTGACAGCTGTTTTAATTATGAAAAACACTAGTGTTATGATCAAATATGTCGATATAGGATTTTCTCCCAGCCGCACATTTGAAATAAAATACGAATAAGAAAAATTTCTCAAAGAGAATTTTTAGAGAAAATCATTGTTCCAAAAGCTGAGTATGAAAACCTCAACTGCACTCAATTCTTCCACTTCTGTTTCTACCAAAGTAATGTTTGGCTCTCCTCTGTACATTTGTTGATTTGGGTTATTGTGGCTATTTCTGGTTTTGTTCTTTTTTGCTAAAGCAACTAAATCAACCAACAGTGAAGGTCGTTGTAGAAAACAAACTTTTGGTAAAATCTGAACAAAAATATGACCTCCCCTCATCTCCTCTTTCTCTGTTTTCTAACCTACTATTGGCTTTTGTGAAGCCTTAGTCTTTTCCAGTGTCTGCATTTGCTCCTCCTCGTGTTTCCTCCCCTTTCCCCTCAGCTCTCCATTTGCTCTGTGGTGGTCACTCTTTTTTCAGGTTTTGCTCTTTCACTTTTTTTCCCTCTTCAAAGTTTTCTTTTTCCTTCCTTTTTCTTCTCTGGGCTGTCCTCTCTTATTTGTCTGCTTACATCTCTACTCCCTTCTGGCCCCTCTGTCGTTGTAGCCCCCTTGGCCACAGCTGCACGTGCAGGGCAGTCTGATCCCCCACCGCCAGTAGCTGGGCAAGCCTGGGGAAGGCTTTCCCAAGGGGCCTGGCACCGTCCCCGCGCCTTTCCCAGTCACTGCATAGAGTGGCTGTGCCAGCAGGAGCCTGAAGGCGTCCCAGAGGCACCACTGGCCTGGTGAGGTGGGGGACCCTCTGTGGGGGATGAGGGGGTGATGACTGATGGAGAGGGAGACATTCTTATGTTGCTGAGTGAATTTCCCCATCATCCGCATACAAGGACAGCATCCTCGGGTCTTTGCCTTTTCCTGGAGGCTGCACTGGTGGGGGACATGGGTAGAGGCTGCAGGGTTGACCATCAGCAGTGTCCCAGCCCTGTTTTCTGCCTGCATTGGAGCCATCCTCCCCCAGCCGCTAGCTGCAAAACAACGTAGCTAGCAGCAGCTGAGTCTGCCTGTCCACAGCAAGTGCTATCTCTGTTTGCAGGGGCATGGACTATTCCTATGAGGGATGTATTTTCTTTTTTTTTTTTTTTTTAAAATTAAATACTATATTTATTTGAATAGATCTGTCAAAAAACAGACCCCCTGTACCCTCCAGGTACTTCTGATTGTTCCTGAGTATCAGAGGAGTTAAGCCTGGTGAGTACCTATGCATAGAAATTTTAATAAAAATGTGTGGTTTTCATTCTCTTCGAACATTCGCAGTTATAGCTGATGTGATTGTAACAGGAATTGCAGGGAGAGAGAATTTGCAATTAATTAAGAATTGCTTTAATTTTTTAAATTTGTATGTTCACAGATCAATTTCAGATAAAAATCTTTTTCTGTAGCTATTGAGGATTTCTTTTTCCTGGGCATTTTTCCATAACTATTGGTTTCGTGTCTGTCCCTGCTATTCTACCAAGCTATAATTTACCAAGCCTGTAATGAGACAGTTGTGTTTATTCTAAGAGTTTACTCAGATCTTTGTTACCTTCAAACTGCCCTGGAGGAGAGACGGGACAGTCAGCCTGCCACATAGTTCAGCGGTAAGCATAGAGACCTCTGGGTATGACAGTGCTGTGAGTTCAAACTCCAGCTATGTTGCACGTTTAATCTTTGTGAAGGTAAAAGACTTGTGATTGCATTTGGTAGGAAGAAGAGCAGTGTGAATACGGTGCATTTCTTAGGTTCGCCATGGAGTAGAATGCTTGCAAAGTGAGACTACGTCTTTATTTTCTTGGCATCTGTTTTACTCTGCTATTTTCTTCCTTCTTCCACAGGACCTTAAATGAAGGAAACAACTGTGGGAGGAACGGGTGGGTTAGAACTGCTTTTATGTCTACCTGGCCTCTAGCTCTTCCCTGCAGTTGCACCACTCTTATTCTTGTTGCTTGGTTGCATAGCATTTGAATTGCTGCTCCATTTTCTTCCTCGGTGGCAAGGGGGAATTGCTCCGCTTATAGCACCAGTCAAATCTGAAAGCAAATACGAATTATGCTTTCATGTGGTGTCAGGAAGAGTTCCAAAAATCTTTACTTGAATTTAATCATGAATCTAGGACAGGTCAGACAGGTATTCTTCCCTTGCAACCTGAAGTAAATATTTCTAGGAATACTGTAATTTGAAACCCTTTATTCATTTGAATGTCCAGCTGTCAGCTGAAACTGGCCTTGAGGGTCCTAAGTACAGCTCCATCCTAAAAGTAGCTAAGTGCTCATGAAATAATAGGTTCTTTTCTTAATAAGACTGCAAAGTGTTTGAATAGGTACATGAAGGAGGGAATAAAACAATTTAAGCACAGCTGATAGAACAAAGAGCTAAAAACCACAAAATATGTCAGGAATAATATCAAAAAGAGGTTAAAAAAAAAAAAAAGAGGAAAAAATAGAGTACTAAAAATAATATAGTAAGTAGTGTTGCAAATGTTGGGGGGGGAAAAAAAAAGAGATATAGCACAATACTGCGGCAGCAAAGAACGGGATTTTTTAGATGTGGAGGGACTGACTTTTAGCTGATGTTTTGGTTCATATTAGCTGTCCTGGCTGGAAGAAGCACACTTCTGGCCTGGTGCTTCATTTTGCTCTGAACCATCCAGGCAACGTAAGATACATGTGCTGTGATTAATGACCTTGACAAAGATGATAAAAAGGGGACAGTATTTGTGACCAGCCAGTTTTGCCATTCAGTTCCTTCGGATCTCAGTGGCCTGTTCCCATAGCATAATTATGCCCAACTCTTGCTCCCATGTAAGTACAATAACATTTTTGCCTGTGAAGTCTGTAGAGAGACAAGTATGCCTTGGGACAGCCTGATACTGATCCATACTTCTTCCTGAGCAAAAATTAGTCATGATCCCTACTGCGCCCTTATATTGTTGCTTCTGAACCAGCCTGTTCTACTGAACAGTGCAAGTCTCCCCTCATTTATCTTTTCATTATTTTTAGTGTAGTAGATGATAGTGCCAGTTTCCTCCTCTGCTGGATCAGACTCTGTGATGCATTGCAAGCATATACTGCCAGTAAAGCATTATTTTAATGTTTTCTTCAGTTCTTGCCACCTGATTTTTGACAGAGCTCTGGCTTGTCCTTTGGAACAAAATGGGATATTTTCTACAGGCAAATCAAAGGTAATTACCTTTTTGGTAATTACTTTAATCTGAGTTTTTGTCTTTCTGTTTTCAAACATGTTTCTGTGTCCATTTTGCCCTTTGAGCATTTTGATAGTTCGTGTAGTGAAATTTAGGTAAATTTCTATTTGGAACAACTGTTTCTAGAATGGTTTTTTCATTTATTACTGTTTGGTTAGCTGTTGCTTTAACATTAAATTAACACTTCACAGAAACCGTACAGATTAGTCATTTGTAGAATAAAATTGGGAGAATCAGAGCGTAAATAACATCAAAAAATCTGGGATTTGAGTTGCTCTTAGAGTCCTAATCTTTGCACCCTCAACTACCTGTGGATTTCCTGGCTCTTATGATGGTGGGCAGATCTTACCATGAACATGTGTGTGATGATTGATGGGAAAACCACACCCAGCTAACTGATCTTCTTTGGCTACTCGCTTTCTTTTTTTTCCTTTTGCTTTTGAGCGCATCCTCTTCTGTTTTGTCCTGTGCCTTCTTCCAGCTTGGTATGTGTGCGAGTGATACTAAACTCACTAGGAACCATCCAAGCATCTTTCAGACTAGGATTTGGTTTTATAGCATGTAAATACTAACACTTTTTTTTTTTCCCCATAGCAGGCAGGCTGCTAGAATTAACAGTAAAGAAACACCTGTCTTCTTGTTAACATCAGCTAAGTCACTTGACTGAGTGCTGATTATGTTTTGACTTCTAGAGGGATCTTTGTGTGTTGAACGGCATTGCTGAAGAAGAATAGCTGGATGAAGAAAATGGTAGAACTGTATTTTTTTTTTATTTTTATTTTTTGACTCTCAAGTGAGTTAATTTGGCAACAGCTGGATAATTTGGGGAACTAGATAGCACTTAAGTTTAAAAAAGGAAAAGGAAGAGTACTCTTCCTCATGGCTGTGTAGCCCTTCTGATAATTCTGGTGCCTAGTAGATTAAGAGATGGGTTATTGAGAAATAATAGGTAGCTCTCTGCGGTTCTGCTGTGGCCAGGAGGAGAACCCTTTTTATTGCAGTGAAGCCCAGGCAGAGTTCAATTTCAACTAGAAGTGCAAAGCTTATCTAGTTGAGTTTCTGTTGGAAAAAGCTAATTGTGAGAAATGGGTATAGAAAGTTTTTGTTTGCCTAGGGAGTAAATATTATTCAGAGTTTTGGTCCTCTATCAAAGGTCTTCTGATTGTTCTCAGGTAAATGTCTTGTCTCCTTTCTTCTTGGCCCTTCTGGGTTCAGTTCTTGCTCTTACTGCAGTCGATGCTAAAAATAATCTGAAAATGTAGGATGTGAGTGGTTTTTGGTTTTTTTTTTTTTTTTTTTTTTAAAGAAGGCCTTTCTGAAAACACACTGCTCTCCTTGCTATGTATCTAGTGAAGCTGTGCATCTGCTTAAGAGCTAAACTTTTTCTTTCATGGAATCCTCTGACTGACAGCCTCTTCCCTTGGTTATGATAGAAAGGCTGGTATGCTTGGGTGGGTCAACAGTCCTTCATTGGTTTTACGTTATCCTACAGAAGCAGCTTGGAAAAGTGAAATCAGAAAAGCTAACTTAAAAGTTTATGGTCACTTGCATGTTTAGGTAATAATTGAAAGTATAGTAGTAACATAAATGAGTTTAGCCCCCACACAATGGGCTAGATCTACTGTCCAGAAATCCACACTCTTCTGTGTGCTCCTATTATACTTTCTGTGACTTTTGTTGGGATGGAGTTCTCCGCATAGTTTTTCCAAATGCCTTGTGTTGCCCTGGAAAGACTGCAATGATTCTTTGCCAACATCCGTCACCAGGAGTGGGACTTCATATTTGAAAAGTAGAGAGAAGGCTGCGAATCCAGGGCCTGGCCTGGATTTACGTTCTTCATGAAGTCATTTCTGAGGACTGTTGTAGAGATATCCAAGAGACTGATGGTAATCCAGCTACATAGCATTTCCCTAGGTAGTCTCTACGCACAGTGGAAAGGCAACCGGCCTTTATGAGCAAGTATGCAACAGCGCAGTAAGAATGAGCTAAGGAAGTAGTCAGAGGATCTGTTTGAGCAGAGTGACTCAATGCTAGCATAGATGGACTTGTGAATACAAATATATATGTGCATCATGCATTTTTAAAATAGGTTTTAAAATTGCCTTCCATTATGTACTCTGAAATCTGCTGCCTTTCTGCATCAATATGATAAAATTTTATTTATGATAAGTGCTGAAAAGTGTATTATTAGTTCTCTTCCTCCTCCATGGAAATTATTTGGCTTTTACCTTCATCAGTATAAGAACATAGTGTATTAATAATAGCTTATTTATTCACCTTTAAAATGTAGCCTTCCTTTCTGTGCTTATTTTTTTTTAAGAGGTTATTTACAGAATAAGCAGAGGTTCAGAGGAGAGTATATTTGGTAGCAATATAGCTTAGGTGAATATTTGTCCAGCTTTGTTAAAACTACAGTTGGGAGGGGAAACTTAAAATGGTTTTGGTTCATTACTACCTCTTAGGCTTTTACTCACGTAAAGACAGATATGAATTTGGTGGAAATTTACACCAGTGGTAGGGTGTCCTGATTTTCATCTACTTGCAGTAGTCGTTCTAGTGTCATCTGTTTCAGTTGTTCACAACATTCTCAAGTCTTTTGCGTTAAAACTGCTGACAAGCATATGTAGCTATTACTTTCTTTGTTGGAGCTAAAAAGCATATACGCTCTGAGGACATAGGCGGTTTAAGAGGCTGTCTACCTCATAACAAGAATGACCAGCTCTTGTTTGTTACTTCCCCAAACAAAATTCTGTGTGCACCCTCTTCTGTCTATTACACCTTCCTTTTCTCAGCATCAGTGGTTCACATACTAGACATGTGGGTGAGTGCAGATGCAGTGTCTCAAGGAAATACTTGCTTGATACACCATGACGTTACTTCTTCCAGAAACCTGGGTGGTGATGTGGCAGTGCAGGCCTTGAAGCGCCCATCTTTGGGGGATTTATTTTTCTCGTAAGGTGTAGCTAACTTTGCTCTCAGTCTCTCACAGTCTTTTTTAAAAAAAGAAAAC